TCTCTACTTATCAGGTTACTCAGGCATGTGATTGGCAAAGGGCAAAAAAGCAAAATATACTGAGACCCCCCCCACACCCCGATAAAACTGGCGGCAGCTCTATTATAGCATATGGATGGTAAAGCAGGACCCATGGCAATAACTTATTTGGTGGATGTGTTGCAGTGGGAATCAAAGACAAATGTCTAATCCACTGCGCCTTCGCCACCTCTCTATAATAATAATTATTTTGTATTCATTTTTTACCAAGCTTCAACAGCTAAATGTGCAACATGCAGCATGAAATAATTTACTGTATAACTAATATAACTAACTTTCAAATTAGTTTAGTAGAAGTTAATAGATTATTTTTAATGAATAGGAGACAGCAGCAAAGGTTGTTGCCTGTTTAAGACCTGGTGGCCTGACTGTTAAAGAAAGGTCTCAGGTTACGTATGTAACCCTGGTTCCCCGAGAAGGGGAACGAGACACTGCGTCGGTTACGACACTATGGGAACGCCTCTAGGCGTAGCAGGTCTGAACGTGAATGAAATCACTCCAATCCTATTGGCTTGTTGCTAGAACTGTAAGGTGTGACGGAATAACCGGAGGAGTATAAAGCACACCTGTACACACTCATCATTAGCTTAAACTATGAAGCAGGCGCTTCAGGCGGGGAGAGAGGTGCGGCGGGCCGACGCAGTGTCTCGTTCCCCTTCTCGCGGAACCAGGGTTACATACGTAACCCGAGACGTTCCCCTTTGAGGGAACTCAAACTGCGTCGGTTATGACTCTATGGGAACGAGATACCCACTAAACCGTGCCGAAAACCCCGCCTGCCCCAGTGTGCAATAAAGTGGCACTACTAAGAGGAGAGCGCATGATTGCCAGGTGCTGAAGGAAGGTCAAGACTGTAAAACCGAATGAATGTGTGCGGAGTGGCCCAGCCAGCCGCTAAACAAACTGCAAAGAGGCCCCGGAAAGGAGGGCTCGAGAGGCCGCCATGCCTCTGGTAGAATGAGCCCTCACAGCCACAGGTGAAGGCAAACCGCGCACCTGATAGGCCAGGGAAATAGTCTGAACAATCCAGTTGCTAATAGTATGTTTGGATGCAGGGAGCCCAGCCCTGGGGGACCCAAAACACACTAGCAGCTGGTCAGCCTTCCTCCAACGGGAGGACCTCAGAGTGTAAATACTCCGTGCTCTGACAGAGCAGAGCAGATGAAGTCTCCCGTCCTCCGCCGTCACATGAGGTGGAGGATGAATGCCTGCAGCACTGTGGACCCTGCTGCACAACAAGGCACTTTAGGGATGTATCCTGGACGAGGGTGCAGGATAGCCCTAATATTCCCCGGGGCAAACTTGCTTGGAGATCCCCCACCCTCCTCAGAGAGGTGATAGCAAGGAGAAAGGCCATCTTGAGGGTCAAGTGCTTAGCCTCAGCTGACTCCAGGGGTTCGAAGGGGGCCTCAGCCAACGCCCCAAGAACCACCGCCAGATCCCAAGTGGGAACCTTGGACCGAGTCGCAGGTCTCATCCTCCGGGCACCACGGAGGATCCGTGTGGGAGGGGCCCTGGATCTGAGGAGGGTCTCGACTGCTCCGGCTGTTAGACCCGCCTCTAGGTACTGTGCCCCCTCAGGGGCCAGACCCACAGTCGCCATATGGCGGGGCAAGGGTGAAGAACCTGGCCCTGCGCCTGGGACAGCAGGTCTCTCCTCAGAGGGACCCACCACGGCGGGCCGTCCAGGAGCAATCATGATGTCCGAGAACCACACCCGGGTTGGCCAGAACGGGGCTACGAGCAGTAGGCCAACATTGTCCTGGCGGACCCGCTCCAGAACCCCTGGGAGCAGAGCAACTGGGGGAAAAGCGTACAGACGTAGCCTCGGCCACAAATGTACCATGGCGTCCAGACCCAACAGGGCTGGAGGAACGAGAGAAAACCATAGCGGGCAGTGCGTAGTCTCTTGAGACACAAACAGATCCACGTCTATGGGGCCGAACTCTTCGCACAAGAGCTCCACCACTTCGGGGTGAAGTCTCCATTCCCCGGGCCTCAGCCCCTGCCTCGACAGCAGGTCTGCTCCCTGATTCTGCGTCCCCGGGAGATACATCGCCCTGAGCGATAGTAACCTCTGCTGGGACCACAGGAGGATCTGACGCGCCAGTCTGTACAGAGGGCGCGAGCGCAGACCGCCCTGGTGATTCAGATAGGCCACCACCGCTGTGTTGTCGGAACGAACCGGGACGTGGTGGCCTTGGAGATCGGGCAGGAAACTCCTTAGAGCCTGGAACACCGCCAACATCTCGAGACAGTTGATATGCCACTCGGATTGATGCACCTGCCAGGATCCCCTTGCAAAGCGGCCGTCCATGACCGCGCCCCAGCCCGTGAGGGAGGCGTCTGTCGAAATGACCAGCCGGCGACAAGACCCTCCCAGCACGGGCCCCTGGGACAGGAACCAAGTTTCCTTCCAAACTGATAGGGAACGAAGACACTTGCGCGTAACACAAATCAGACGGAGAGGATTTCCCTTCGGGGAAAAACCCTTGGTCCTTAGACACCACTGCAGGGGTCTCATGTGCAGTAGTCCAGATGGTATTACGCTGGACGCAGCCGTCAGGAGACCCAACACTCGTTGAAAGTGTTTTATAGTGATGGCGTGGCCTAACTTCACCCCTTTCACGGCAGCCAATATGGTGTCGACACGTGCCGGAGACAATTGTGCCCGCATCGTTGTCGAATCCCATACTACCCCTAGGAACGTAGTCCGTTGGGTGGGCGCCAGCACACTCTTCTTTGCGTTGAGCCTCAGCCCTAAACGCCGCAGATGAGCCAAAACGACATCTCGATGCTGAACCGCCAACTCTCGAGACTGGGCTAGGATGAGCCAGTCGTCGATGTAGTTGAAATCCGGACGCCCTGGAGCCTCAGCGGGGCCATGAGTCGGCCTACAGACGGGAGGTTGATCATATGGCTCTCTGGTGCGGCCAGAACAACCTAGAACTTAACATGCTCAAAACTGTGGAGATGATCGTGGACTTCAGGAGGAGCTCCCCACTCTGCCCCCCATCACCATGCTCAACAGCCCTGTGTCTGCTGTGGAATCCTTCAGGTTTCTGGGATCCACTATATCCCAGGACCTAAAGTGGGAGCCCAACACTGACACCATCATCAAGAAGGCCCAGCAGAGGATGTACTTCCTGCGCCAGCTCAGGAAGCTCAACCTGCACCTACACAGCCATCATCCAGTCTGTCCTCTGCACATCTGTCACTGTCTGGTTTGAATCTGCCACCAAAAAGGACAGGAGACGACTACAACGGACAGTCAGGACTGCAGAAAAGATCATCGGTGCCAACCTGCCCTCCATTTAGGACATTTCCAGAGTCAGGAAACGGGTAGGACACATCACTGCAGATCCATCTCACCCTGGACACAACCTGTTCCAACTTCTCCCCTCTGATAGGCGCTACAGAGCACTGTACGCCAAAACCAACAGGCTAAGGAACAGTTTCTTCCCACAAGCAATTTCTGTAATGGACAGCTGGCTGACTCACAGTGTCAGGAACAATTCCTGTGCAATAACCCAGTAACTGTGTCTCTAATCAGCCACTGTTTACTGGCTACCACTTATCATTTACTCGTGATTCTCTATTTCAGAGTTGTTCTTACTGTTCATATTGTCATATATTGTATATACTGTATACCAAATCCACCTACATCATGTACACAGCACCACACATAATACTTATTTACTCCTGTATCCTTTGCACTCTGCTCATTGCACTGTTGTCTTAATCTGTCTGTTTTGTCCATAGTGTGTAGATATGTTGTACTGACTAAGTCCTAAACGAAGTCTAGTAACTGGTTGCTAATACAGCGGATTAAATTTAGACGTGTGCCCGTACAGCCTCACAAATATCAAACGGGGATTTCGGTTATGTTACTATTATCTAGCAAGTTTATTTTCCTCCATATATCATACAGTGGCAATATCTTAACTCGTAATACATGTAACCAAACACCGTGGTGCCTTGCTCACCTCCAGGCTAGACGCTAGCACAGTCAAAAACTGTTTGCTTCCCAAATCATCAACACCTGTGTCTGGGTTTCCTCTATGTTAAATAACCTACCCCCCGACTCGAGATCAGCTGAACTACAAAGCACATCCAGCCCCCTAGTGGCACAAGACAAAAATTACATAAAATAATACAGAATGAATATGGCTCATACATATGTGTTCTCTATACTGTAGCCTGTGTTTGATTTTATTACTGTATTATTGTGTTACTGTATTATTGTATAAGGAAGCACATTGTGAGCATTGTACAACCCAGAGTCAAATTCCTAGTACACATACCTGGCAATAAAGCTGATTCTGATTAATTATGGCTTTTGTGGAGCTTTTTCGTTCACCGCAGCTCCGTCTACAGCAGTACTGTGACAACAGCTGCTCTAGAGTGCCGTCAAAGTCGCATCAATTCCAACCTGTGTCCAGACTCAGGTCGCATAAAAAAAGAAATAAAATAATTTTTTTTAAAATCAGATCCATATTGGATTTGGACCACATATGAAAGTGGCCCAAATCCAAACTGGAAAAGATCAGATTCCATGTGACTTGGCCTGTTCACATTGTTACATATGGGCAAAAAAAATCAGATTTGGGTCACTTTGGCCTGCAGTCTGAACATAGCCCAAGAGTCCAGGTGTGTGGAGGAGGTGATGTTAGGTTAATAGCATGTGTAGTTAACTGACAGACATATGCCACTGGAAAAAAAAAGGAAGTGTAACCACCAATGAGACATAATGAGCATTTTGTGCCAAGAATAGTAGCTTCAAGGAGCCCTTCTGAGAGATGATGGCTATCCTCTGCCAAGAAAAGCCACCAGCAAAAAATAATGATCTGTCAGGATTGTGTAGTTGCAAAGGTTGGTGGACCCAAATGCAGGACACTGGAGCAAAGCAGGTGCAGTTCAAAAGGATTTAATTCAGGCAAACAAAAGGCGAGCATACTTACTGGCAGAGTGGCTGAAAAACAAGTCCAAATAAAACCAGGTAATCCAACAGAAATCCAAAATCCACAGAAACAGGGAAACAGGGTGACATGACGAGCAAGGCAGGCAAAACACTACAACACGAGACAGAGCGTACACACGCTACAATGACCGGACAAGGACTGAAGACACACAGCAAACATTTAACACCAGCGACTAACGAGCAGGGCGGGAGCCGTGATCAGGACTAACAAGGCAGAGAGACAGCAGGGGAAAACCGAGAGACAGGCATACAGAGGGATTACTGGGGTAACAGACGTAACACAGGTCACTTAACACTAAACACCGTACATATCAAGATAAGATGCAACTGATCAGAATAATAAACAAACTAACTCAGACACAAACAGACAGATCGCAAATAAACTAGCACCAACAAGTAACACAGACTGAAGCTAAGATTAAACAGAACTCAGAGCAGACAACAGCACATAAGTTTACAGACCAGAAGTAAACACTAAGGCATGAATAAGGCACAGGACTGGGGACTAAGACACAGAACAAGGAACTAAGATAAGAGTCAAAACAGATACTAAGTAAACTTAAAGATGCGGATGAATAAAATAATAAACAAGGCTACACAGAGACTAAAGCAGAATGATCAAAATCAGATTAATGAAACTAGCAGAGAACATAAATTGACACCTGGCAAACAGACAGAACCCAAGCATGATGGTACACAAACTAATTCATGAGACAGGAACAGAACTGAAATCAGGAATATACCAAAACACCACTAAACACCAGCTAACAGATAGTAACCAGATATACAATAACATCAGATAGAGGACGGACACGGTAGCAAGCAAACTATAAACTAACAGCTCACAGAGAACTCAGGACAGGATCGTAAATGTAAATGTAAATGCTCCGTACTTGTATAGCGCCTTTCTAGTCTTTTCGACCACTCAAAGCGCTTTTACACTACATCTGCATTCACCAGTCACACACATTGCGCCTAAGTGCTCAAACGGAAACTAGCATTCACACTCATTCATACACTGGCGGAATAGCCGCCAGGGGCAATTCGGGGTTCTTGCCCAAGGACACTTCGACACGCAACTAGGGGGAGCCAGGGATTGAACCGCCGACCTTCCGATTAACGGCCAACCCACTCTACCTCCTGAGCCACAGCCGCAATGATCATTTTGTGGGGCTACTTTGGAAAACCCCTAGAAGTCCAAAAATAAGTAGTTTTAAAGAGCCACTTAGACTAGACTAGAAAAACATGTTAACCTTTTTAAAAATATAATCTTATTTAAGTTTTAATATAATGCATATATTTACAAGTTTTAATGGTGTCAAATATATGCATTTATAGTTCTAAAATACAAAATAGAAGTTTGATCTTTTTGTGGACAACATGGAGGTAGAAGATTATGTGATAACATATTTTGGAAAAAAGGCGGGAATTGAACAAAGACACCGCCTAAGTAGGAGGAGATTGAGGATTATAAAAGATGATGTTTGTGAACCAATTTTTGACGGTCTCCAGAGAAGTATTTGGACTGCAAGTTATTGATTATTTTGGCGTGTTTCTTAAAGTGCTGAAGAGAGGGTTTTTAGCTGGCCTAGCCCGGACTTTGTCCCTTTCATTATTTGGCGAGCCAGCCAGGAGAGTTAAATAGGGGCCGGAGGACTTTGTTCAGGATGGACAACCCATTGCTTGAAGTGGGCCAGCATGCACCAGTACGCAGTACCTCGACATTTTACTCTTTGGTGTAACAGGACATTTTCTTGCGTACCGGGACTTCTCCCAAGCTGCCGGTACTCTCCTCTGCCCTCTCCATATCAGGTTCTCTGGATGCTATGTGGCGCTCAACTGTTCCCCTTCTCGCCTGCCTGCGAAACTCTGTCGGCGGAGAAAGATGAGGGAAAAGAGAGGTTCGAGTGCCTTTCAAGCAGCAGTGTGCTGAATGTAGCTCTTCAGTGTCACTTTTTGTGAACTGACCAATCACAGCGTAATGGGGCAGGACATAACATTTGACAGACAGGTGTCATTTACACTGAGGATGCTGGGGAATCTCAGAATCAGTATGACTTCATACAGCGCTGCGCAGCGCTGACTTATGGGCCTTTCAGACAGACTGCGACGACTGCACTGCTGTGCTGTGAAACCCATTATTTTCCATGACTTGCACCGCGGCAAGGCGGTTTGTTGCTGTGTCGAGCAAAGCGCAAGCGCAGCACAGCACACTGCTCAGCGACCTCGCGCGCACACCGCGGTCAAAGTTCAAAATAGTTGAACCCGCGGCCAATGCAGCGGAAATCACTTCCTATCTGAAAGGGCCATTAACGTGATGCATGCTGGACTTAAAAGAAGGCATGCTGGTTAGAAATTGTGTCCGACTTTTGCCGGCGCTGCAAAACATCACCATGTCACATGACATTTAAACCTCGCGGGAGCAAGGCGGCTGCAGGCTGCGGAACCACTCTATTGCCTTTTTGCAAATGCCGCAAGACCAGTCAGTCACTGATTTCAGCTTGCAGCAAGCTGTTGCAGGTAGAATGTGTCCAACTTGATGTCGTCGTTTTTATACCACGCCCCTGCAGTCACCTGCAGCTCACGTTAGAACATCAAGTCAGCGAAAGTCAGCTGCTGTCATCTCAAACGCACCTGTCTCCATCACTTTTTGAAAGCTTTTGTTAAAAATGTTCTGAAAAACAACTTACTTTGAGAAATGTTAAATAACAAATGAAACAATGCACAATAAGAAAACATGCAATGAAACTGAAATATAGAAGAAAGAAATGCATTGTCCAAGAGCTGATTACTGCATTATATTTTTATATTTTGAATTGTCACCTGCCACCTTAATTTTGTTTTCCTTCATATAAATAAAGACTTTCCGCCATTAATTGGTGCAGAAAATATCTCCAGAATGCAGGAAATTAAGTGTTTAATGCTCAAAGTTGTCACACCCTTAATCTGAGCCCTTATGTCTTTACAACACAAAGTGATGCAATCACCAAAACTTTATAAATGTTGAACTTGTTGTTCTGCATGAATGGTTAACAAATCAGAGAGTAACTACCATGTAAAGCATTTTTCTTGCACAATAATTTAATGAATGAAAGGCTGGCAGACTGGACACATGCGCACATAAAAAAGGTAAGCAGAAAACCTTTTTCTAATATTTCTGCATTTTAGTGTGTCGGAATAAAGGATTCTCCACCCAGTAAACGCTTTCTCACTCTTGAAACTAGTTAAATCCTAGTTATTTTATAGATAGAAAAAACAAGAATGAAATAAGAAATATTGTTAAAAATTTAACTGAATTTGTTAAAATATTAACCAAATTCATTAAAAATTGAGAAGTCAGAATTGTATACAAATTAAAGGTTGTGTAATATTTCTGAGGATCTGTCGACTGAAATGCAATATAAGATCCTAAACTATGTTTTCAGTAGTGTATAAAGACCTTACATAATGAACCTTTATGTTTTTATTACCTTAGAATGAGCCATTTTTATCTACATAACCGCGGGCACCCCCTTCTATAGAGGTCGCTGTAATTTGTCATCATGTTTCTACCGTAGTCGACAACGGACAAACAGCACTACAGAGTGCGTTTCTCATCAGGACGTTCTTCTGCCCGTCTCTACATTAAATGCGTCTGTAGAAGAAGAAGAGGAAATAATAATAACAATAATATGCAGTCTCTGAGTAGTCTTCTGGTTTATTAGAAGTAAGAAGAGAAGCGACATTTGGACAAATCAGTGTTTCCCACAGATTGACAGCATACATGCCTTCCAAGAATTGCATGACAACGTATTAAAGTTCAGCTTTTAAATGCTATACTATTCTTTGTGGGGTTCATTAATAGTGATAAATGATCACTATATATTTTATGAACATTAAGAATCATTAATATATTATTACACTTACTAAGATTCAGCAAAAACGTGGCATTAACCGCGTTCAAACAATGTGATTAGCAAAGTGTCCTAAAAGGACCTTAATAAGTGAATGTATAATTCGGCAAAACGGATGTTGTAGGCTACCTGCCGAAATTTGCATCTACCTCTTTTCTCAGTATAAAAGAGCGTTACCTTCCGCGCGATGTATGCAGTTCACGGCAGGCATGCACCAGCGCTGCAAAATGTCACTAGACCTCATGGGAGCAAGGCCTGATCATTGTTCTAAGCTCACGCAGTCTACCGGAGGCAGATTGTGTCTGACTTGACAGTGCTGTTTTTATTTTCATATCAAGTCGGAGAAAAGTCTGCCAGTTATGTGGAACGCACCTGCTGACTACCAGTTATACAGCGTGCTAACTTCAACAGTCTGCCTCCAGTAGACTGCTAAACAGCTGTGTGACTTTCTACAGAGCAATAGTTTATTTGAGGATTTTCAGTCAGGATTTAGAGCTCATCATAGCACAGAGACAGCACTGGTGAAAATTACTAACGACCTCCTTATTGCATCAGACAAAGGACTTGTCTCTGTACTGGTTTTATTAGATCTTAGTGCTGCATTTGATACCATTGACCATCAGATCCTATTGCAGAGACTGGAACATTTAATTGGCATTAAAGGAACCGCTCTAAGCTGGTTTAAGTCCTATTTATCATATCGATTTCAGTTTGTACATGTTAACGATGAGTCCTCCATGCATGCCAAAGTTAGTCATGGAGTTCCACAAGGATCTGTCCTCGGACCAATCCTCTTCACTTTATATATGCTTCCTTTAGGCAATATTATCAGGAAATATTCCATGAGCTTTCATTGTTATGCAGATGATACTCAGTTATATCTATCGATCAAGCCAGATGAAACTCATCAGTTAGCTAAACTTCAAATGTGCCTTCAGGATGTTAAAACCTGGATGACCTGTAATTTTCTAATGTTAAACTCAGATAAAACTGAAGTTATTGTTCTGGGGCCTAAGCACCTCCGTGACGCATTATGTAAAGATATAGTTTCCCTTGATGGCATCACCCTGGCCTCCAGCACCACTGTGAGGAATCTTGGAGTTATCTTTGATCAGGACATGTCGTTTAAGTCTCACATTAAGCAAATTTCAAG